GTCTGTGGCCTAAGTCTTGGAAGTTTTATCCTCACTGAGGGAGATAGTAAAAGAAAGGGTGAAAGAGGGCGCCTGGGTGGCTCAGATGGTTAAGCGTCTGCCTTCAGCTCAGGTCATGATCCCGGGGTTCTGGGATCAAGTCCCGCATCGGGCTCCCTGCTCCTTGGGAGCCTGCTTCTCCCTCTGCTTCTCTCTCTCTCTCTCTCTCTCTCTCTCTCTCTGTGTCTCTCATGAATAAATAAATGAAATCTTTAAAAAAGGGGGGGGAGGGGGAAAGAAAGGCCAGAAGCTGAGGACTCGTCTGCACGCAGACTGGGGGAAGAGGAACCAGGAAGAAAGCAAAGAAGGAGCAGGAGAGGCACCAGGGGACTGAGCATCATAGAGGAGAGAGTCTCAGCATGGAGGAAGTGGTAGATGGGTCCAGAGGAGCTCCCTGATTCCTAGGAAAGAGGCACTTCTGCAGAAGCCAAATGGTAAAGGGTTTCATGATAACTGGAGGTGAGGGAGTGGAAACTGGAGAAGGAAAGAGGAAAAGGCGTGACAGCTTAAATAGGGAAGCGATCAAAAGCAGCCCCTTTAGGAAACAGGAGCTCTGGGTAATAGATAGAAGTGGAGGGAGGCAGTGAACAGGCAGGCGAGAGAGGGACCGCTCAGGGAAGCAGGAACAGAGCTGCACGTGTTAACCCCCAGAAGGAAGAGGGGGGAAGGAGATAAACGACAATACTGAGAGATTTGCTACCATGGAGAGGAAGGGAATTGATCCTCACAAGGAACAGTCTCCAGATTCATAGTAAAGGCATGATGCAGTTGGGTGGAAGGGTGAGCCACTGGGGCCTGAAACAGGGAGGGTACTGCTGTGGGATATGTAACAGGGAGTCGGGGAGAGCTGATTCAAAGATGGCTGACTTCAGAGAGGCCTCAGCACAGGCCACTGGAGATACTTTGTTTCAGGCTGCAGCATTGAGCTTCTGCAGGGAGGAGATCACAGGCTGCTCTTCAGAAAACAGGCTGATTATGGATTTCCATTACATCTTGCAGCCTACACTCTGTCCACTCAGATGCTTATGGCATGGCCCCTGGCTGTTCTAGATCTGAGCCTTGCTCACACCCCGGCACTAGGTCTCAGGTATTCCTGTGATCCTGGGAATGTTCCCTGTGGACTCACTTAGCATCACTCTTGGTCCACACAGCCGAAACTGGTGCCCACGTCCTGGCCTGATCCCTGAGAAGTCTGGCTACATCTTCATAAGCCCGGGTTCTTCTTTGAGCATCCCCAGCTGCTTTTGCTTAGGACTCACCAACAATACCTCTCTGGGCTTCCCAGCTAATGTTTTAGGGGCTGAATAAATCCTCCAGCTTCAAAAGGATTTACTCCCTATTGTAATAAGATGTTATTTAACAGTACCTGATGTTATCGGACCAGAATTACAAAATCAGGTAAGAATTAAGCAGGATCGAGGATGGGGAAAGTGAGAAAATGGACGTGAGGTGGGTGATTTTGAGCTGCTATTTAGAACAGTAAATAATTGAAATAAGTGAAGCCAGAATGCAGATTATACTCTAAAAGAAGAAGGAACATCAGGATGAGATGAGTGTTTTCAGGAAGAGCCCGGAAATGTGCTGGAAATATCATAGGACTTGGAGTCTGTCAAACCTGGGCTCACATCCTAGCTGTGTGATCATGGATAATATACTTTACCTCTCTGAACCTTAGACTTCCAGTACAATTAAATTTGGGGGCTCTGAGTTAACCAAAGCTTATTAAGTTGCCATTTTTGAAAAAGGAAATCAATAAAGTCTGCCTTGTATGGTTGTTGTGAAAATGAAAAGGGAATGTATGGAGAATATCCAGTGTATGCCTGGCATAGAGCAGGTACTCAAACATTGGAGGGTACTATTACTGCTAGGGAAAGATAAGGGAGTTTGATTTGAGGCAGAGAGTCTGAATGTCTTTGATCTCAGTTAAAGTCAGCTTGGACTTGATTATCTATAACTTCAATTTGAACAGTTCTCTGCACTGCAAACTATAGTTGTGGCCAGATCTCCTGTTCACGTGGCACAGGAAGGAACAGTCGACTGTAGTTGAGCCAGATGCTATTAAACTACTGACCTTGAAACAAAGGCCAAGGTGACATTTGCCCTGCCCCTCTCAGATCTGCTTGCTCTCCCATTTCCCTGTTTTTGCTACTGAGGCCACCCCTGTAGCATTCATTCGTGGCAACCCCCTCCCTTTTCCCCCTCCCTGCCACTGTGACCAGTTAATTCTCTCTCCGTTGGGTTCTCCACATCCCCTCTTACTGTCCACTGCCCTGGCTCCAGTCTCCTCATCTTGTTCTTGGGCTCTGAATGGCTCTCCTTTCTACCGAGTCCTTCTCCATTAAAAGATAAACTGAGGGCATATTAAACATGTTAAGAGTTTATTTGAACACACATCGATTTGAATCAGGCAGCCACCACACCCAAAGGGGTTAGGAGTCCCCCCCCCCGCCCCCCAACAGGAGCCAAGGGAGACTTTTATAGGGAAAAGGCAGAAGAAGGAAATCATTCATTGGTTATAACCTAAAGCCTATTTGGCTGTTTGTGATTGGTTGTCCTTAGCGTTTTGATTTCATGACCATGAGGCATTTACAGGCTTAGATCTTGGTTTGCTTATGTAGACCAGCCACCAAGGCATCAGAGCCCACCTCAGTCTAATAGCCTCCTTGTTTAATTAATTTTACACCTGCAACAGCCTTCTACATTGCTTGGTACATGGTAGTTTTTCATGAAAAAACTGTTCTAAAAATAAGCTTGTAATTTACTATGATGTACAGAATGAAGTGAAAGCTCTAGTAGATTTAAGACTCTCAAAATCTGGTTCCTTCTTAACTCTTCAACTTTTTTTTTCCCAGCCTCTTCCCAAAAGTCAAGGCTCAAAGGTCCCTAAACTCGCCTGTGTGTTCCTACTTTCCTGCCTTGCTCTCCTGATTCCAGATCATTCTTTTTCCACCCTGGCTCTGTTCACCTACCTGTTGCCTATCTCTTAAGGCTGTACTGCTTTTCCTTTGCCTCCCCGAAATGCTTCCATAGAACAGTAAATCCAGCCCAGAGCCATTCCTTTCTTCCCTAAATCCTCAGCATGTACCTTCTACGACAGAAGCTCCCACATTTTCTTGGAATGTTAATAGATGTTACACAAATACATGTTCCATGTTGAAATAAATGGGGAACTCTGGGCTAACAGAAGATGTGCAGATTATATTGTGGTGGGATCCTTTAATATGCTCCTATGCATGGAGAACCTCCAAGGAAAGGACCGAATATGAGTGTTTCCCCAACTTAATTGGTCTCAGAACACTTTTCACAGAGCATCTCATAGGACTACTATTTCTCAGAAAAGTTTTCTGCCTTATTCATGTAGCACTTAGCATGTGCCAAAATACGTCTTTATGTCTGCATTTCACTTTGCCTTCCCTGAAGCATAGAAGAAACTCGAGGGCAAGAATAAAATCCTAGCCATATACCCAGGAAATGCTCTATAAATGTATGGATAGAAGAAAGCACAGTCTACCCCTGCATTTCAGGCCAACACAGCTGGTCGTGCAGACTGAGAACATCATGACGTTAGGGGGCAACATTTGCCTGTATTACAGTGTGAGTAACACATCCCCAGACAGTGCACCACCTGGGCGAATACAGCCAGGGGCCCCTGTCTTCCATCCCCTGTGCCCAAGAGCGCTGTCGTGTTTTCTTTACATACCCCAGAACATGCAGATCTTCCCATGCTCTTAAATATTCCATTCACACAAAACCGTTGGTGAGTACCATGTATTTTACTGAAGATTTTAGGGGAGAGATGGCAGAGGGAGTTTGCACCACACACCTGCAGCACATGTTTAAAAAATTACCCAGTAGCCATTTTGATTTTCCAAAGACACTAGTTAGCTCTGCCACGGCTATGGACATGTTCTACCCTCTGTCCTTCCCCCTAGAGGCACACTGACTTTCCTCCTTTTTTTTAATTTTGATTTCTCTGAACCACTGTGACAACGCACAGAAGGAGGAAGTAAATACCCTCAGGCTGGCCTGGAAAGTGTTACGCTGGTGTTTGAGGGCTTTCAGGGATGAAGTGGGAATGTCAGCAAAACAAACCAACACGAATCATATTTAATAGCTCAATTATAAATAGCTACACATATCAATTGGCTCATCACAATGGGATAAGGTCTATACCATGTGATATAAACGATTTCTGTACTGAACTGGTAAATACTGCTGGGTCTTCAACCCCGCCCTGTCTGAAACCTTCAGCAGCAACCAAAATGCTACTAGCAGCATATGTGTGCTCTGCACCCCCAGCAGGGAAAGTGGGGTTGTGTTGGCAGAACCTTGTAAAGGGCAGCATCGAAGGTTGTCCCTTAGGGTCCATCTTCGGGCAAGTGCAGTTTGTACGTGAGGTCAATTAGGGGTTGGGAGGTGTGGGTCCACATGAGGCAGAATCAGCTGATTTCCCAGTCCCCCTGAGTCCAGAAAGCAGTCCTCTCTTACCTCCAGCTTCTTGTAACTGATCTTAAAAGCTAATGACCTTCTGGGAGGGCGAGGCCCCAGGCTAAGGAGAGCCCCTTTTCTTTTACTGAAACATTGAAGCCTAGCACAGTGGACCCACCCTTCAGCTCTGAACTACTGAGAGGCTGGGGTCTTTTGGCCATTCTTTGAAGTACTCAGTTGAACTTAGAGCTTCAAAAGAAGGGGAGGGCTATAAGTTGATTTACACCCAACTGTATGATGTTTAGCATTTGTTTGTCTGATGAAGTTACTGAATGCAAAATAGAAACGGCCAGTAAAACATACCATCTTGTTCTGGTTAAGCCCTAAGCCAGTAATTAGTGCAAATCTGGAGAAATATTTTATTAGAAACTTTAGTTACTGAGTGGCCTTGTTCTCTGCCTTGCTCTTCTCATAGCTGAGGCTGCTCTGTTCTTGTCCGCCTACAGCCCGCAGTCTGCCTGAGACCAAGCACCATGCCTTCAATTAAGTTGCAGAGTTCCGATGGAGAGATATTTGAGGTTGATGTTGAAATTGCCAAAGTCTATGACTATCAAGACCGGGTTGGAAGATTTGGGAATGAATGATGAAGGAGATGATGACCCAGTTCCTCTACCAAATGTTAACGCAGCAATATTAAAAAAGGTCATTCAGTGGTGCACCCACCACAAGGATGACCCCCCTCTCCTTCCGAGGATGATGAGAACAAAGAAAAGTGGACAGATGATATCCCTCTTTGGGACCAAGAATTCCTGAAAGTTGACCAAGAAACACTTTTTGAACTTATTCTGGATGCGAACTACTTAGACATCAAAGGTTTGCTTGATGTTACATGCAAGACTGTTGCCAATATGATCAAGGGGAAAACTGAGGAGATCCGCAAGACCTTCAATATCAAAAATGACTTTACTGAAGAAGAGGAAGCCCAGGTACACAAAGAGAACCGGTGGTGTGAAGAGAAGTGAAATGTTATGCCTGACACTGTAACACTGTAAGGATTGTTCCAAATACTAGTTGCACTGCTCTGTTTATAATTGTTAATATTAGACAAACAGTAGACAAATGGCAGCAGCAAATCAGTTGTTTAAGCAGAATATTGTCCTCCTTGCATGTGTAGTTTGAGTAGGGATTCCAAACTTATGGCTGAGTTTCTTCTAGTATGATCAAAAGTTTCTTTTTTCTTTGCTCTAAATAAACCTGAACCATGGGTTCTCTGTAGAAGGTGGCATTTGGGGCTTTCCGAAACTCTCTTTGTAAAGCATTTCTGCCTAGTTTCTTGTCTAGTTAACTTTAGTTTAATGACCTTTTAAAAGTTGGCATTGTAAATAAAACAAGTTGAAAAAAGTTTTCTGACATAGAATTAACAACATATTCTCTTTATTCATGAGTTGGAAACTGGAAAAAGGCTACCTGAGGTAAATGTTTCAAGCGGGGTTATTAGGATGTCTTCCAGCTTCCTGGAGTCAAGGAGTATCACTGGTATTGATTAGCCTGTATGTAGCAGGGCTCCCTTAATTGGATGTAAGGACTTGTTATTGCATTTTTAATCCTCAGCTTTGAATATGTTGGCTAGAGACTCAGTTACTACTCAGTTTGTGGTTTTGGGGGGAATATAACTAGCCAGTCTGTTAGCTTTTAGATTAAAAAAGACAAATAACCCATGTGGTTATGTTATCTTCTTATAATTATTGATCCCATGTGGGGGAAACTTCACACTACTTGCATGTAAAAAATAATTTAACCTTTAACGTTAAAATGTCTGGCAAAACCTAGAAAGCATCCATCATGAATGCAAGATACTTTCAGTAAAAAGTAAGTTACGTAGTAGGTGGTAAATGGTTTGCTTCTGTGTACTTAACTGTGTCTCTTCACTTACTAGTAAATGAGTTAAGTATATGTACGGTTCTGTAGCTGGAGACAGCTTGCAGGCAGTTCATGTCCTAGCTCGCTGGAGGCTGCTGACCTAAGCCTTGGGTTCTGATAGACTTGTGTCTCTTCTGATTGTCATGATCTGGTTCCCTGGAGCCAGTGCTTCAGTTCTTAACTGGTGCACGTGGCCGCACAGGACTGCACTCATTGTTCCCAGCCTCTGCCCTACAGTAGAAGGAAGTTTTCTCGGTGCTTGAGATGGCTCACAAATTGTTACGTCTTTTTCGTTCCTCCTTGTGCTCCCTTTTCTCTTGCTTTTCCATTTAGCATCATCTGTATGCACATGTAGTCCTACCGCATTCTCTTTGTGTTTACTGTGGGCTGTTTTGGCTCAGATTATTCGCTGATAGTAGTTTGCCTTTATACTTCACTTCTCGTTTGCCCTGAATCTGTATCTTGTTTAATAAAGTCCCATATACTGTCAAAAAAAAAAAAAAAACTTTAGTTACTGACAGGCTGCCTTTAGGTCCTGTGCACACTCTCAGATGGCCCTCTCTTGCTCCCTCTCATGTGTCCCCATGCAGGGGAGGCCACAAAGTCATGGCAAGGCTGTCTAAAGAAGGAAGCCATCATAGAATGACACAGCTCTCCGACTCCCTTCCAAAGCGAGCCCAGATGGACTGTTAACCTTAAAAAATAAAACTGCTAACTATTTTATGGGCAAAAGATGGGTTTATTTGGGAATAGCAGAGAATTGCCATCCAGAACAAGGAAGCTACAGCAAAACCTTAGGCAAAGCCATAGAACAAAGGAGGGGAAGGCTCTTTGAGAGAGCAAAGGGGGATGTTGGGAAGGCTGTTATGAACAAGAAGTCCATTGGAATAAACTGAGAGTTTGATGTACAGTAGCTTTTATGGACTGAGTTGTGACAGTCTGTCATTGGCTGAACTACTGCTGCTGCAGGAGGAAGAAAACCTTTCTTCCTCCTGCTGGGGTAGTAAAGTAGGGAACATGTGCAAAGTCTGACTCTTCCTGTTGGATTTGCAATTGATGTGAGTGATTGGACCTGCGAGCTCCTCCTTCCAGCCTCCCTACTCCATTCTAAAGGAGATTTCCCTTTATCAATTTTCACAAGCTGCTTTGTAGGGTTGGACCCACTGACAGACAAGAGTAAGGGAATATGGGGACCTATGGAATTTTCCCGTTTTTGGTAATCTTAAGAACTGTGCCTGGTTGTAAGGAGCCCATTGGTCAGTTAGGGCCTATGGCTTAATAAGCCTGTTTGCATCAGGTTGATAGCCGCTGTGGACACTTTGCCTTGCTCAAGGTTCCATGGCTCAAGCCTGTCGCCTAAAAGTGGCCTCTATAACTTGCTGTTTAGATGCAATTTGCTGGCCCCTTTGGAATCCTGCAGTTCCTTCCAAAGATGCTGGCTGTGCCCTTAGGATGTGTTCCTGAGTGCCCTGGGTTCCTTTCCCTGCTTCTCAAATCTGTATTTGTCTCACCAGCTCTGTGGGTATCTGAAGGCCCAGCATCCTACACAAGACAGCCAAAGTGATAATGTTGTTAGTAACAAATAGCATAAAATAATTTTCATTTCTGATTATGTAAGTAATGCTATGTAGAGGGTACCAGAAGTGTGATCTGCAGACCAGCAGCATCAGCATCACCATGAGCTTATTGGAAATGCAGAAACTCAGGCCAAATCCCAGACTTAAATCACTATGTTAGATCCTGAACACCTTTGTCATCCTGCCTTCATGAGGCCTGATGGTATGCATCTTCCTGTGCATAGTAAGTGCTATATGTCTATGTATCGTTATTATTAGAACACAGTAAATAGCTTTTGCTCATCCAGACTGGTGACTCTGGTAGAATTGGGAGAAAGTGAGTTTTGGGGGTAGTGCCAGGAACTGATTCCTTCCTATGTCTCACCCAATCCATCCCTCAGATGACTTGTGCTAGTAGTTTACCTTTTACATAGAATCTGGTGGACAAATTCATGTCTTCATCTATGGATCTCTTACACCTAAATTTTCTGAGTTAATAAAATATAATGAGTTTTAAAATTGTAATTTCGGAAAGCTGTTTGTTACTTAGTGATGAATAGCAGACATAAAGGGAAATGGCAGGGGGGTGGAGGGGTGGGGGGTGGGGGGTTGCCAAAGAAGGAAGAAGGGAACGGATGGAGGTGGGAGGGAAAAGCAGGCCTGAGAGCTTTGAGAAAATCTGGTCAGTCAGCTTCAAAAAGGTGTGGCCGGGTTAAGATAAAATATGCCAAGTGGCTACCAGGGAGTGATAGGATAATGAGTGAATTTTATTTTCTTCTTTCTGCTCTTCAGTATTTACGAAGTCTTCTACAATGAATGGGTATTGTTTTTATTATGAGGAAAAAAATGGCAAGTGTTTTTTTAAATTAATCAAATGTGTCATTGGAAAACTCCAGATAACAAAGTTATTCAGGGAGGCAGGAATTCAAATGAATAGTAACTGCATGTACAGTGGGAGAGAGGCTATGCCAGGGTAAAAATCTGATGCTCATTTACTGTAAAAGACCACCAAGAATTTCAAATGCATAATTCAGTAAAAGCATTAGCCTCAAAACAACTTTCTCACAGCTCTCTGGTTTCGGGGTTAACTTTGCTTGGCAAGTAGATTTTCATCACATGGAAAGAGCTAAAGGATGGGGAGGCTTGTGGCAGAGACCACAAATCCTCAGAAGCCCACCTTCTAACAGTTCAGTGTGGGCTTTGGCCACAAGTGTTTGGTTTCCCAGGGAGATGTTTCATGTGGAGCAACCCAAGAGCCTGGAGCCAGTGAGGACCTGTGCGTGTGAATCTAGGTGCCCTAGCACCATGCCCTGATTTTGAGAACTGTGTTCTCCCCGACATACAGTTATCATATCCTAAAATTTGGCATTTTTCTGAACCCCCAAGCCTATGTTTCCACAGAAACTCTGTTATGATTATTGAATAGGATTCCACGTTCCAGTTGGGTTTTCCAGAGATATTTTGCATCCTTTTTCTCATTTAATACTGGTACAGAATTTTTTTTCACCTCCGCTTCAAAAGGAGAAATATTGAAATCTATCAGCTTCTGAGATGGGAATAGTAAACTCTCTCAGTATGACTTATTAGAGTTTGCCAATCTCTCCCTGTGACATCAGTTTTTTTTTGGTTTTTTTTTCCTTCACAAATCTATTTTGTGTCTCTGTTGCTAGGTACATATATGTTTGTTAGAGTTTCTTGGGTTCTTTTTTCGTTTGTTTAAACAAGCTCCAGGCCCAATAAGGGGCTGGAACTCATGACCCTGAGATCGAGAGTGGCGTGCTCTACTGACTGAGCCAGCCAGGGGCCCCCTGTTGGATTATTTCTTTCTTTTTTTTTTTTATTAATAGCTATCATTTATTGGGCACTTAAAAGTGCTTTGTGTTCAAGTATTATTACAAGTTGACAAATGGGGAATCATCTGCACTTGATCAAGGAAGATAAGCTAATTTGTATTTTTTTAATTATGTTATATCACCATACATTACATCATTAGTTTTTGATGTAGTGTTCCATGATTCATTGTTTGTGCATAACACCCAGTGCTCCACGCAGAACGTGCCCCTTTAATACCCATCACCAGGCTAACCCATCCCCCCACCCCCCTTCCCTCTAAAACCCTCAGTTTGTTTCTCAGAGTCCATAGTCTCTCATGGTTCGTCTCCCCCTCCGATTTCCCCCCCTTCATTCTTCCCCCCTGCTCTCTTAGACCTGTACCCCTGAAACAAATAATACATTATGTTTAAAAAGAAAGATAGCTGGATTATTTCTATTATGACGTATCATGCCTCTATTCCTGAAGGGCTGATGTTTTACTTGGCAGGTGCTGCGAGGGCACCCAGGGCAGTGCAGGTGAGGAAGAAAGAAGTGAGGTAAGGACAAATGCAAGGCCGTGTGAAGCGGTGAGTTACTCCAGCGGCCAGTACCCCCAGATAGCTCAGAAAGCACAGCTTTCACTGTTCTCTGGTAGGATTTTCTCCACAAGGGTTACGAGAAAGGACACCTGGCTACCTCCTCCCTCCCACTTACCCTTGATCGAGTCTTATCCCACTGGGACCTAATTCCCCCCATGTCAGTGTTGTCATCTGGCCCTTCAAAAGCTCCCAGGAAGCCAGCCCCAATGTCCAGAAATGTGGCCTCCCATCCAAAGCGGAGTGGAGTAGAGGTGGATGAGGCACTTGAGAAACTCTGAGAAGGTAGACAAAATTTATGTCTGGTACATCTCTAGTAACGTATGTTCTCATGTAATAATAATACCCTGAGGTCAATTCAACGGACATCCTCCCCCCCCCAAAAAAAGACTGAAAAAGTCAAAATCAATTCAGTAAACACGTGTTGAGGACTTAGCTTGTGCAAGTCACTGTGCTAGGTACCCTGAGGGGGAAATGATGCACAAGAACTGATTCGGGGCCTCGTGGGAGATGAGCCATCTCTGGAACAAAGATTTTGGGTTCAGACAGACCTAGATTTGAATTTCTGCTCTGTTCCTTAGTGCTTTGTGAATTTGAATAAAATATTCAACTTGCTAAGGCTTAGTTTCCTGAGGAGAATAACAGTTGTTGCCTTACAGGATTGTTCTAAGACTGAAACGAAATAACAATGTTCAAGTAGCCAGTACGTCTGATCATTGTTAAGTGTTATTTCCCTCTCAGAGGCTTAACTCAAGGGGTCAATTCATATATTACAAAAACATCCATTCTAGGCAAAGGATGAACAAAGGACTTTGAAACAGAGAAAGGAAAAGAGAATTTAAGCCAAGGAAGCTCTGGGAAGGCTTCCAGGTCTGTAGTAAAAGAGAAAGAGAATCCCTTCCCCTTTCCTGGTGCGTGATCATCCCTTGGCAAATTTTCTTTTTTGGCAAGCTTGGTCTTTGGCCCCCTACTTGCCTTGTGTACCCATCTCCTGCTCATGTTTCCTCTGCCCTTTCGATCCTTAGGTGGTGTTAAGCCTGTCCACGTTGCCTGACTTGGAGGTACAGGCAGTGTGGGCCGCGCTCCCCCAACCCAACTCCCTTGCCTTTGGAGGTACTGCTGTTTGTTCAAAAGCACACGGATTACACTAACCCCAATCAAGCTGCGTGACTGGTGGTGGCCTTTACCCTCCTAATGTTTTATATTTCTTCCTCACTGAAGCTCATTTCACCAAGACAAATCTAATCACAATCACTCCCAGAAGAGTCTACCCATTGAGCGAGCTCCCCCAAGCTTTGTTGGCTTTTCAGGATCTTCCTTTCACCACCCTGAGATCCATAGGTTCTCTGGAAGCTGCTATGTTTTCCATGGCAGCTTTCCTGGAGGAGTTCTGGCCAGCTGAGCATCGATGCTACCTTTCAGGGAGCAGACGTTTACCAGTCAAGGGCTATTTGTTCACAGACCGTGGAGGAGCTAGGTTTCCATGCTGCTCCCCTGCGTTTTCCAATCATAAAATGTCCTCT